AACTACTGAAAAGTATCTTGAGTTCAAAAGTTCTCGAGTTTAAAATTTTATACGTAATTCCGGTCACTTTATGCTAGCGATATGCGCTTATCTTACAAAAATTTAGCTCTGGTGTTACACAAGAATTGTGACTATAAAGGGAGAGGTCGCCCCGCCGGAAGACGGAAAACAGACGGTATGAGAATGCATGAGGCAGCGCGCACTATCAAGAGTAGACCAATTATACTATGGACACTGGGTGGTCGTTTTACACGGTAGAACGATACATTAATATATACGCACATAGTTATAGTGATAGGTTTTTATTTTGTAAATAAAGTATCATGTAACATATCAATACTGTAAATAAAGTATCTTAAACAGTTCGATATCATTATGATATGGGGGTAATGCTCTCCTGAAACGGGTTTATTCCCACGATAGGAATCGCATAAAAGATGGGACGGAGAAATTCTTGTAATACTACATGCTTTCGAAATAATGGAAAAACGCATACTAATACATCGACTTTATGGTAGACAGCCAGGTAAAAATATGTTGCTCGGTGAGATTGCGAGATGCTTGACATTCTGTGCTCTATATGAGCTTTCAAGAAGGGACTTGGCTTAATCGAGCAAATATGTTAAAGCACAGAGGTTACAATCATAATTGCAAAATCATCCGCAAAATGTTGAATCCTTATTCGAACATTGTATTATGTATCATTAGGCTTTTAACAGGCTTCGCTTTACGACCCACGTTAAAGAAAGCGGTTAATACGTTTCAGAAGCATAAATTCTTCAAGATGAATCATAGAAACGGTTTGTCAAACTGATTTTCAGTAAAAACACGCTCGCTTGTAGCAACAGACTGCATCGTAGTAAGAGTTCTTGTTTTAGTATCGGAACATCTAGAAGAAAACAAACGTGGGTGTGATGCGATACGAATCATCAAAAATCTTGCGAGGGAGGACTCGGATAAATTATTCCAAACCCAGTGTTATCAAACCAGGCGTATAGGAGATTGAAGCATAGCTTGAGATGTTGCAACAAACGAGGAGATCTAGCGTTACGAATCATCGAGGAAAGACTCGGATGATGGGATAGGAAACTGCAACGAGTAAGTTATTTCAGACACAGTTATCATAACCAGACGTTAGGAGGCGGAGGCATAACCTCAGAATGTCAATCAGTAGGCAGTGCGCTTCTTCTGTGAATAAGTCTATTCGATTCTGAGTGTTATTATTACTTGAAATAGGCGATTGGAGATGGAGATTAGAGATAGTACAATAGTATGCCGACCATTTAATGGTAAAAGCTCCCCAATGACAACCGCATTCGATTAGCGTCTGGCGCCTGGGATGCAACAAGAAAGCAAGATGGTAAGTACTCGATGAACAAAAAAGTTGTATATTACTTAACACGCTACCACTAAGCTGTAAAATTTGTCATCACCGTTCAGGCTGACGGGAGAGGAACCAGATACAAAACTGAAAGACATTCGAACAACACTGTATATATAGATGGGTAGGATACTTTACCCGATCATCGATCACGCAGTATGGAATGAACTGTATGAATTGATATCGTCCTTTCCTCTCTGTCTCTTGCAACATGGGATATGATCCTCTTGTTGCGCACTAAATTAAGCTTTCTTTTTATCAGGCTTCGCTTTGCGATCAGCGTTAGTGATACCGTAGAGGAACGGTTATTTCTCCTGAACATGACTATGCTTTACAAGCAAGATGTGAAATGGAATAATCAAAGTTATGCTATTCGGTTCTTGTAACATCGGAACAGCCAAAAGGGAAGTGAACGATGGATGCTCTAGGAAACTGCAAGTAATTTATTACAGACACAAAGCTAGACGTCTTGGGGGGGGGGGGGGGGGGGGAAGCGTAACTTGAGAGTGTAATTAGCAGCAGTGCTCTTTTTCTGGTAAGCGTTGAATCAGTCTATTTCATTGCATGTGAATCTACTCATCATGACAATTGTAATTGGATATAGGCGATTGGAATGGAGATTAGAGATCATAAAATAGAAGAATCAAGTATGCACTCTAATGGCAAAGCTTCCTAACAACGAGTAACAACCGCATCCGATTAACGCACTACCGTCTGGCCTCGAGAATAATCCATGGGTGTCAACGGGAAAGCAAGATGGTAAGTGCTCGATAAACAAAAAAGCTTTATTCATTAAAATGCTACCATTAAGCTGCAAAATTGTTCACCCTTATTCAGGCTGACGAGATACAAAACCGAAAAATATATTCGAACAGCACTGTATCATAGAATACTTTATTCAGTCATTGATCACGCAGAATATGGATCGAAAAGAGGGGTTTAGCTGAATTGGAACGAGAAGATAACCGTGGGATACGGAATTAGGTGCGTAACTCCAAGTCCAATGCCGACCATATTAGAAACATTTGCAACTAAGATACAGAAAACTTCACATAACGATACTACATCTGACACATCTGGTCAACTCAAATGTCATTTCTGATAGGAACGATTGTTTTGTTCTATAACATGTAGAAGCTACCCAAATGCGATTAAAGACTGCGAAGACCCACGTATAGTCTGAACTATGCAGTTGCCTGTTTATGGAAGATGATTGAACCACACTATCTGGCCGCCACAAATATATGAAGGAACCTTCCAATTGCGGTACATAATATATCAACAATGCTTTGTGCATCTTTCAGCACAGGGATCTTTACTGGCGATGGTGACTTATTAATCGTAATTCTTATAGGATGAGCCTGCACGAGGCATCGACCAAACAATAACAATAATATGCAAATCTGCTCTTTGGAAGGTTGCGATCCCTTAGCTTTTTAATAACCGGAGCTTCCACAGTACATACAATCATTCTAACATATTGGGTGAGTGTGTATTTTATCGATGCAAAATGACTTTATTATTATTTGACGATTACAAATGAAGGCAACTCCCTCACAGTAGAGAAGAAGAACAATAGCTATACTGTGATCTATGAGAATAATACTACTGAACTAACTATAGCGCCTGCTTACTCCTCGTTTAATACACCTGTTCTCCTTCCACGTGTGGATCTCCATTCAGATCACACCTCCCATCTCTCTATTCAGGTCGCGCCAGCAACACTGGTACGTTATTTATCACCATTAATAATAAATTAAAAATGGGATCGTTTTGCATCCGCCAACGTTCTCAGCATCCGTGACTGTATAGGGCCCGCCGGGTCTGGCGAGAGACATGAGCGGTCGCCGTAGTGGCTTTGTTAACACTCTATTGAGAAAGCGAGTGTGAATGATAGCCGAAGTTATTGTCCGGCGAGGAAGAGAATCGTACATGTCTTCGAGGGTCGGATGGTATTGTTGCATGAGGATGATTATTAATCATAATATCGACAAGTTCGATAATATTTCCTAGAATTTTAGGGACGGCTCTTTTCTGTGTATCGTTCGATGCTGGTAATTTATCCAGATTGGCTTGTTTAACAGCCGGCGAGTTCGATGTCGAGAGCATATTAATATAGAGAACAAAGGTTCTCTTTTGTAATAGTAGCGGTAACGTCAGTTTATCAGACGCGCTACTGACATTCGAGCCTGGATACGTTCCTTTTCTGTCTACCAAAATGGGCCGCTTTTGAAAATTGATTATGATGTATAGAGAAGGTTTTTAGAGGAGAGGTGAGTGCTGGATGCAACAAGAATATATCATTAACGTTAATGGATATCAGCCATTAAATATCCATCTCCCCTTTCACCAATTTCCTTTTTCGCATATACAATACAATATGTGATGATCCTTTTGTTTAACAACAAACATTTGTTGCACGCGAAGGCAAACTAATAAGCTAAGCGTGAGCTGGCAAATACCATTGCTCCTGTTCATCTTAGCGCACTTTAAACGATGGGGGCTATTCATTCGAAATTTGGGACTAATGGATTAAAATACCAAAGATTGATATCTTTATTGACAGTATGTGATTAAGTTTGAAGTGCCAATCAGAAATACATGAATAAGAAATAGAGAAGAATGATCTTATTGACAGTATGTGATTAAGTTTGAAGTGCCAATCAGAAACACATGAATAAGAAATAGAGAAGAATGATCTACTGGAACAGTATGTAAAAGAAAATAACAAAAAGAACAAGATAAACACCGCCACCCAGAAGTTGTCACATAGATAAACCATTAGTAGTCTATCGATAAAATAATTAAATTTTCGAGCTGTTGATACTAAATAAATAACTAATTACGTTAACAACTCGGCCGCCCGGGAAACTTCCGCCACGCGTTTTTAAAAACCGTATTTTTCTTGGCAGGTATATTAATATGGCTAACCTAGGATATTTTTTACGGTGTACTATCCTCGCCAATTCGGCAAGTATCTTGAAGAATTGCTTAACACGCGGTTCTTCGTTTTCCCATCGTGTCTTTGCCTCTTTTGAATATAACTTCAACACGCGGTTCTTCATTTTCCCAACGTGTTTTTGCTTCTTTTGAATATAGCTTTAACACGCGGTTCTTCGTTTTCCCAACGTGTTTTTTGCCTCTTTTGAATACAATTTTAATGTATCCGGGACCGTCGCACTGCTTTGTTTTCGGTTTAGTTATAGAACCAGAGTCCTTTCTCTTCTTCTCAGTGAGTAAGGTTCAACTGAGTAAGGAAACCGCGGCATCGATTTCTTCTTTTCCTTTCCCGCGAGGTAAAAGGCTTCATCCACCAGCTCTGTCATCCTGTTGAGTGGGATATTGCCGTATGTTTGGGAGTTTATGGGAGGGTGGGCAAAGAGTAATTTATTCAACTTCTCCGATACCCTATAATGCCCTCCGAGAGTGTAATTTATTGAAAGAATGGGCGCATGCATTATGATACTTGGAGTATATCTTGCTAGTGCGCATTTAATAAAAGGACGATTTAAAATGTCTTTAGGTGGAGGACATATTTTGTCCTTGTTGTTATATGGCGGAGGATACATATTTTTGTCTTTTGTTAAGGAGGATAGAAGGTGAGGATAGAAAGGTTCTTATTATTAATTGCTGTGTCGTATGTTGTTGCACATGTTAACAATGCCGCCGATAATTAAGTCAATAATTTCGATGATTTCTGAATGTGGATCCGATTAAAGGAGATAAGACACGATGATGTCATACGACACTGCTAATTAGTATATCACGTATCGTAGCAATGTCCCTTTATCGTTAGCTCTTCTTTAACCACCCCGTTCCACAGTAATACACGGACCAACCAAATTCTATGGATCACAAAGGTACTATTACTATTACGTGGATGAAAGAATTCTCATTGTACATAACTGTTACTTTTGTATTGCGATTGCCAAATTGAGTAACTGTGTTCTCTTGTTTTAGGCTTAGTCTTGTAGCATCGGTATGACCTGTGCACATCTTTTTTTGTCCATTTAGAACAATGATTATAATAATAAATCGTAACCTTTCCTAAATAGGTTGTCTGACATGGGCGTAGTAAAGACTCTGCATTATTATTATCGGAGTTAAGTTTCCGATAATAAAAAAATTTTAGTGAATGCAATAAAGATTGTGGCCAAGTCTTCCACTTGCAAGATATATTATTACTAGCTTCCAATTTTTTATGTAGAAAATATAAATAATGGAATGTGTAATTGTATTCTATAAGTTACTATTTATTCAAAGGCTTTGTATCGAGCGAACCTTTCAGTACGCTGTTGATAATCTATTTTTATGTTGATAATCTATTTATTATACAGAGATTATATGCAAATTACGCAGCCGTGCATATTGTATTGTGAAATAATATCATTACAACGTTTTATATATTAATATTACGCTTGTTATTAATGCGTCTGTCCAAGCATATTAATATGCATTCAAATTTACACTGTCAGCATAATTTCTTGCTTGACGCTTTTACATAAAAGATAAACGTGTTCAATCCTGGTAGCTACTTGAACTACTCCCTCAGCTGATTGGTGGTTCAGTGGTAGAAAATATTCGTCACTTTGTTACTCTCATCACACTTCAGCGTCAAGATGGTTCTTAACAAACGCTCGGTGAGACTGTTCAACTTTACATCCGAGGCTGAACTCGTCTCTGCATTTACAGCTCGAATTTCCAACGACGAACAACTCAAATTACTCGACAAGAGAGTCCTTACTGCAGTCCTTGTGACTAGAATATTATTATGGAAACATAATGAGTGGATTGGAAGCTGTGCAAAGACGGAAGAATGGCTCAATGTAAATATCAATGATGTAGACATCGAAGAACGTCTATATATTGCCTCTATCGCTTCGTGATTGAACACTTCAAATTGTAAAGGAACAGGAGAATAAACCAAGCTTACCGAAGCAGAGAACGAAAAGAAGATAAAAGAAGGTACACTTCTTTGAAATTTAAGGGAATAATACTGAATTTTTTTATATCTTTGACAAAATATACTGATTTTTTGAAAAATTGTTATTTTGACACCCAACAGGCGCTGTATTCTTATTACTCTCAGCTATGTCAAGAAATATATTTCGTTCATGGGCAGTTCACCTTGGACGCAGACTACTCGGCTTTGAATCTTTCAAAGACTCTGAACAAGTAATTAACGTCTACATCAAATCGAAACGCGTATCTAAATTGGACATACGTTATTTCCACTGCCGTTTCTATCCGTCATATTCATCTCCTCATAGCACTTCAACGTGCGAACGGAAGCTTTGAGTCTGACCAACGTATTGCCAGGCTTTTCAACTATTAGAGCTTATCCCGTCGTTCCATTCCAGCACTTCTGATGAACGACTTAAAAAACTCGACAAGTCTATCATCGTTTCGGTCTTTATCACATCATTCCTCAGGGCTCTCTTATGGAAGCACAAAAGTGAATGGATATCATCGTACACA